CATGTCCTCCTCGAATTGCTGGACGTGGCGGCTGCTTGTGATGTACTTCACGCCACGATCCCGCAGGTACTGCACCTTCTCAGGGCTCCCAGCTGTGGCGAAGATCGTCGCGCCCACGCGCTGCGCGAGCTGCACAGCCACAAGCCCCACTCCGCCAGTAGCTGCGTGGATCAGCACCCGCTCACCAAGCTTCAAGGGCGCCAGCTCCACAAAGGCTTCCTCAGCGGTTGCGAAGGTAACTGGCCACGCCACCATCTGCTCGAAGGACCATCGCTTAGGCTTCGGAACCATGAGCAGGCCCTCTGTGCAAGCGAAAGCTTGTAAGCAGCCTGGGGCAATGCCGAAGACATCTTGCCCGGGACGGAGACGGGTCTCTCGCTCTCCGACAGTACAAAGAGTGCCAGCACAATCACCACCTGGGTTGCCAGGGTCGCCGGGATACAGATCCATGACGTTCAGCACGTCCCGGAAGTTGAGGCCAACCGCACGAACGCGCAGCTCCACCTGGTCTGCGTCCGGCGACGTGCGCTGAAGCGGGACCTCACGAAGGTTGGACAGGCTCCCTCGCGACTTCATCTCCAAACGCATGGGCTTCTGGGGCTGCACTTGGCAGCGGCAGAGCCGGGGCACGTAGGGGTCCCCACTGAGAGCCAGTTCCGTCTCGACTCCACCAATGCTGCCAAGCTGTTCCAGGATGACCTGCGCCATAGCATCTGCGTCGTCTGCATCGAGCACGTCCAGGTCAAAGCAGTAGAGGCTGAGCGATGCTTCTTCCAGTCGCGCGGTGCGCGCCAGACCCCACAGGCCGGCATGCAAGTAGCTTCCCGCTCCACGGTTAGGTGCGTCCTGCAGAGAGGGCTCAGGAACGGAATTGGAAACAGCTTTACAGACTGTATCAGACTGTTGGGCAGGCCTGCGTTCCGAAGGTGAAGTAGGCGATCTTGGGCGCTTGATGGCCCTTCGCGGCCAGTGCCATGGCTGCCTCCAAGGCTCATCGAAGAAAGCAGCTTAACTTCAATGAGGCGCAGACGCAGGCCTGCACCAAAAGCACGGCATCGAACAACACCTGCATTTCATCCGTGTCCTGTCACGATACAGAATTGCACACATCATGGTGAAACAACAGCTGGGTGGAAGATGGATGTCCTGCGATGCCGCGAGCAGCACCGCAACCTCGGTCCCTTCAAAGGTCGAGTCCGCAGCTGTGTCCAGGAAGCTGGCCTCCACACCAGGCTGAAATTGCTAAACCAGCTATTGACGGTGGGGAGTGATCCTCATGCTGCCTTCAGGTTGCAGGGCAAATCTGCTACGTAGGTGACTGCGGACGCTAGCCTGGCCTCAGGCAGCAACACCTTCAACGGACTGCTCAGCCTCTCCGCGCCTCAGCCAGACAGCAACACCTTCAAGCGCAATGCGTTTCTGCCTTGAAGTCTTGTTTGAGCTTTGGCTTTAGGACCTTCGGACCTGATGTGCCAAAGTCTGCCTGCTACAGGCGACCGTCCGACATCTTCCCCCATTCTAACCTGCACAAAAGAACTGAGCGCCGCACCGAGAAATACCAGACCCGTGCCTCTTGGGCCGACCAGTGCTGCTGGAGATCCAGATGCTTCTGATGTTTCGGCAGCCATCCACTCCACTTCATGTATGTCTTCCTCCACGTCGGCCGGCTCGAACATCTTGGCCTAGATACGAAACTGTCCAAGCAATGCAGCTCTCAAGTCGAGTCGTCCTGAACATCTGGCAGAGTAGCTCGGTATACCTGCAGCCTCCATGAATGCCGAAAGTGCCTGCTTCCCGAAATGAATTAAAAGACTCAAAAGACATGGCTCGCTGCAAACTTTGCCTGGAAACGTGGCACGACAACCGACCGACCTCAACCAACCGCACTCTGTCCTCCGTCCAGAACCCTGTCCAAAACTGCCCCTCGACAGCAACCTCTGTGAACAAGCGGCAATATGTTGAGGATGCACTTCACGAAACCTTGGAGGATAATTTCGCTCAGTCCGAAGACAAGAAACATCAATCTCCGTTCTGAAACTCATAGCAGACCGGGTACTTCATTGTCTCAAATCCGAGCATGATGCTGCCATCCTGGTCCGCTCATGAAGAGAGAGTAGAAGACAAGGTTACACAAGGCTCCAGTGGCTGTGACTTGGCTATTGGTCGCGTTTTTGTTGTTGCGTACAGTGTGGAGGGCTACGAAACCCAGAGGAAGGCGTTCGAGCTAGGATGTATTGCAAACGGCAGTGAGCACAAGCTAAGCTGCTGGGAAGGGGCGACCTGAAGGGGGTGAGGAGGGGGTCCCCCCGCCGGAGGTTTTGTAAATAAAATGCAGCGCATCACCATCATCTGCAAGCTAGCATGTGCGGTATCACACGTCTACATCATGCAGGCCTCCTCGTTGCAGAGCTCCGAATTGACCCAAAGCTCGTGGTCCGTGTTTCTGACAAGCTGGTGGTGCACCCAAATGTCAGCACGAGATCCTTGCAACTCTCGACTCAACAATGCCACGAGCAGAACCATCTGCAGGCTTTGGCTTGGACGCGGGGCATCTGATGAAGTCTTCTTACATTGCTTCGTGACTACTGCCTGAAGGCCCACAACACCCTCCCGACCATCCGGAGCTACCGCTTACACGCAATCCACACGCACACAGTTTCACCACAGAAGCTCTCATTGGAACCCCTTGCGTCCTTGCCCATAGCATGTGACTGTCTCCACCATGAAGGGAACACGCAGGGAAGTCAAGCCGTCAGTCGTTTGGTGGCGCTGGAGCATGAGAGCCATGCAGCTTTGGAACGCTCCATCCTAAGTGTCCGCCGACTTGATGCTCCCAGTCAGAGTTGCCCTCTGATCACTCCGCCCCCCAGGCCAAAAGATCCAGCAGGCACAACGAGTAGACAGATGAAGACTCCGCATGGGAGTGCTCTGCTGAATCATCCCACCCTGTGTTGCTAATGCTGCCGGATGAAGTACTACGAAGCTCTCAAGCAACTCGCACTCTGCTACTGACCCTCGTAAGACCTTTGCCATGTGCTGAGCTGGCCAAGGCACGATGACCGTGGGGTTGAAAAGGAAGCCAGCCTCTGCGTCCTCATTCTCCGCCACTATTCGCGCCAGCACCTGCAAAGGTCAGTAACCGAATGAGTGACTCAGGTTCCTGCAACTGCATGGCAACGACCGACCAAAATCCACCTCCTTGTCAGCACGCAAGATCTGCCGAACCGTCTGGAAGCGTCGCTCGAGCACGAGGCCGAGAGCAGAGAAAGGGACCTGAAAAGCCCACATGTAGCCTGTAAACTAGGTGAACTGTGCTCCAAGGAACATATAACTGATCCACTGTTACTTCTTCGTCACAGTGCCGACGCACCTGATAGCAGCCAGACTCTCTCATCAGCTCATGGTGTGGCCTGATCTTTGCGTGGCCTCGTCTAGATCCACATAGGGGGATGCGACGTTGGCAAGACAATTCAGGTCAAGTTCCTTGGATATGTTGGCATTCCTTCGCGTGGAGTGGAAAGAGCTCTGAAGAAATACCAAAACTTGCAAAGACATCATCCAAGCAGCACCTTCCGCATGGTCTGCAAGCTTCCTGCCCTCACTTGCGTCAAAGCTGAAAATTGACCAATGCTTGTCCGGGAAAATTTCCAAGTACCTTAGGCTTGCTCTGAACAAACTCCTACTGCATCTGACACGTGGGCATGACAGGTTAAGCCAGACCATGCTTTCCAAATTGCATGTCAATATCCCGCACCAACTTTCCAGGCTGGTGCCCCTGCTGTAGAACTAGCGGCGCGGTGAAGCCAACCTGCTGAGGCCGGGAGGCTTTCGGCCAGTCTCTGTTCGATGCGGACATCGGCCCCGAATGTGCTCTAAACGACAAGCGAGAACTCGGCCGACGGTTTGAGGACAAGCAAACCGGCTCCGTGCTAGCGAAACACTACTCGCAGGCTCGATCAAACAAGTGTTGTCGCACATCCTGCAACGACTCGTTACACAGGCCGCCTTGTGGATCTTCCACAGCTTGCCCGCATTCAAGTGCAGCTCACCAGCAGCGAGCACCATCTCAAGGTAGGCTGCCCCAGGCATGACCATCTCGCCGAAAAGTACGTGATGACCTTAGCTCAGACTGAATGCGTGCTTGGAAACTTCTGCTGGCAACAAACAACTGGCGAGTTCCTGAAACCTTCGCATTCTGAGCCCGAGACTGACAAGCTGCAACAGCTTGCCCACCAGGGGCTTGGCAAAAATCTGCGTTCCCTCGAGGGTATGCCACGTCCGCGTGAGCAGCGCATGAGGTCGGGCCCACCCAAAGGACTGACGCTTGAAGACAGGGCCTTCCTCGGCCGGAATTGTCTCTGCAAAGTCCTTCAGGACCGCGTGCCCATTTGTACCTGCATGGTGACATGGCACTGCAAGCTTGGCATCCCTCAACGCGACATCTTCCTAATCTACAAAGTAATTACAAACGACGGCAGGATGCAATAAGTTAACCGCGCCTCCAAATCCGAAGGACGAAAGGCCAGCAGCCACGCGCACAAATTGAAACCCAAAACCTTTCGTACCCGTTTCTGTGGATGCCACATCCACAGCCACCCGGCTCCATTCAAGAAGACCTTCCACTGGTAGACAGGCGGGGAAGTCTTCGAGATCACAGTGGGGATTCAGCTCTTTGAAGTGCAGATTTGGAGGGGACCGTTTTCGGGCGAGCATGCAAAGGGTCTTCAGCAGTCCAGCCATTCCAGCTGCGCCTTCCAAATGGCCTCGCAGAATGAGCAGGTAATTGCACAGATTTGGGGACATCCATCACACACACACACACAGATCTATGGGTGCAACCCGGCGGCCGAGATTGGTCTTGACAGCACACAGAGCCAGTGGAAGATCTGCACTGCGTTGCGCAAAAACGCCTCTCAAAGCCCCAACTTCAATTGGATCGCCCAAGGCAGTACCTGTGCCATGTGTCTCCATGCAGGCAATCGCTTGCGGCTCCATCTTCGCCTCCACCAAAGCTGTCCTGATGACCGCCTGCTGCGAAGGTCCGTGCGGCGCAGTCTGAGATGCGCTCCTGCCGTCCTGATTGACAGCTGTAGCCTCAAGCACCGCAGCTGGCTCCACTTCGAAAGCACCATGCACGCCATACGGGGACATCGTGATCGAGGCACACCCTTCACCACGCACATATCCATTGGCAGACACATCGAAAGTCTTGCAGCGTCCGTCTGTAGAGAGCATGTGGGCTTTGCTGCATGTAATGAACACCTCTGGAATCAAGCACAAGTTCACGGCCGCAGCAGCTCCGTGCGTGCACCTCGATCGACGAATGTTAGATGCAGTCATATCGACTGCAACCAGTGAGGATGAGCAGGCTGTGTCTACCGTCGCACTTGGGCCCTGCAGGCCAAGCAGGTAGGACACCCGGTTCGAAGAGAGGGAGGGCGAGGCTGCTAGGCCGGTGTAGGATCCGATCTTCTGTGATACGTGGCCACTGAGGCTCATGTGACCCCAATCGTTATTGCACTGGCCCACCGCTACAGCGGCATCAATTCCCATAAGGGATCTCTTGTCGAAGCCAGACACATGGAACGAATGATAGACAACCTCTAGGAGCAGCCGTTGCTGTGGATCCATGGCCTTGGCCTCCATGAGGTTCAACTCGAAGAAGGAAGCATCGAATTGATCGGCTCCTAGCACGAACGAACCATGACGCACCATCATCTTTCCTGGAGCTTCAGAGTCCTCGTGGTAGTAAACATCGACATCCCATCTCTCCATCGGAATCTCACTCACACAATCTGACTTCTGGCTCAGTACTTGCCAGCATTCCTCCATCGTTGCTCCCTCGAATGGGAACCGAAAAGCTGCTCTGTTGGCTGCAAGCTGCAGGCTGGAATGTTGGGCCGGATGTGCTGCAGCTGGAACTGCCTCTGCTGCCAACACGCTGGACGACGAGAGCGATGGTCTGCTGGCAAGTTCCAGAGTGAAAGGCACCCCCGCAATCCTTGAGTCGCCAGCTTCCACAAGCACCTTCGGACTGAAGTTGGCTCTGGCCGAGAAAATGCTATCGGACCCAGGTTCGAAATCCAAGTTCTTGACCTCCTCAGCTCTTAAACCCGTCCTTGCCAAGATCTGCTCCAGCAACTGTGATTTGAGGCTTTGTCTCTCCTCGTCGGTGTAAGAATCCAGATCTCCAGGGAACACAATGTCCAGAGAGACAGGTGAATGACCACTGCCGCCAGTTCGCACCCGGCCGGTGGCTGCCCGCGTGGATGAAGGGGAACCGGGGGAAGACATGGCTTCAGTAGCATATTCGGAGATGGCCTTTGGGCTCGGACAATCAAAGATGAGGGTGCTTGGAAGCTTTAAGCCTTCCAACTCCTTGGAAATTGCATCCCGGAGTCCCACGGCAGTTAACGAGTTCAGGCCCGCTTCCATCAAAGGCATGTCGTCAGGAGGCTTGGATCCAAGAAATCTTGTGACAACACCTTGCACCACCTCGTCCACCTCAACTGCCAGCTCATCACGAGCACGATGACGCAAAGCGCTTGGCAAGGTGGGCTTCGAATGAAGCTTGGAAGAAACTCCAGACTGCAGGTCAGAAGGCATAGGATGACGCCTCCGATTCCAAGAAACTTTGTCAGGCCTCTCAAGCCTAGTGCCCTTGCCATACCCGTCCTCGGGAGCTTCCAGAATTCCATGGCTGTTTGTGCCCGAGAACCCGAAAGAAGTGACACCAGCGACAGCACGAGATCCTCTCCAATCAATGATGCTGTCCGGCATGATGACAGGGAAAGCGGTCAAGTCAATGTTCGAGTTCATCTTCTTCAAGTGCAAATTCTTTGGAAGCATCCTGCAGAGAGAACACACTTACAAAATGGTGCTCCGTGATTGGAGCGTCATTACCAAACTGGCCTGTGGGTGAATTCGCTGATCATCTTGATGATGCCAGCAACGCCAGAAGAACCTGCTCACACACCATTGGCTTCAGTGTCTGTGCTTTCAAAGTGGACTGTTGCATGCTGACTAGTCGTCCTGCTCATTCAGCTTTAGACAGGGTCCTGGAGTTGATCGGCTCAAAAGCAAGATCGGTTTAGGGCTTCATTTGCTTGGGCTGCAGCAGGGCCTTCTGGGTGTCCAATGATGGACTTCAGTGCGGCCATGATCAGCGGTGATTCGTCGCTGCGGTGTTTGCCCAGGGTGGCTTTCATCGCACTCACCTCGCGGAAGCACGCAGGATGTATGCACACTGCAATGAAACGGCTTCAACTGAAAGCTGTCGGCGCAAGCAAGCATGCTTTGCTGTGAGCTCTCTTGTTCTGATCTTCGCTCTCCTCGAAGAAATCCCTATGTGCAACGTATGGCTTAGAGGCCTTGCAAGCGATTGCTCATCCTAGGGTTCCGGCCTCAATTGGATCACCAAGCGAAGTGCCTGTCCCATGTACTTCCACAAGGGAGACCTCCAAGACTTTCACCACAGCTTCCTGCATGTCGGGGAGAAAGAACAACGGCATCCTTAAGACTCTGTCAATGGCCTATCACTGCTGGCTTTCCTAAATACTACACTGTGAAAACCAGTATGGATCAATGTGGCAGACTCAAATTTCCAGCTTCTCCTGTAAGCAGCCCTGGATGCACCGTTGTTGCGCAGGACCAGACGGTGCTGTAATCGTTGCACTGCGACCATCCTGTGCGACACACGTGCCAGGTAAGACTGCCTCAAAGGCTTCTTCTCAGACAGCACTAGATTCTACAGATGTCACGAGGTGGGTTGCTTTGAGGTCGCATATGGTCTTCCTCGACCATGACCATAGAACAAGACATAGTGACTATGCTAATAACAGCAGGAATGACGGCAGCAACAGCAACAAAAAAACTAACAGTGATAACTAGACATTTATTCCATCTGCATGAATCACCATCATCACCGTCATCATCACCATCACCATCATCGTCAATCATGACGTGGACACATTATTATGCAAAAGATAACAGTGGTAATACTTGCGAGAAGAACCCTGACACTCATCATCATGGCGGTGTCGATTATAGTAACCGATTCAACAGAACAAGTCATCACAAGCAAGCCCGTGCACTTCTTGCCGATTCGACGAAAACCCCATTACGCGCGTTTGTGGCCCCGCCTGGTTGACACACACGCCAAGAGCCGTAGCAACTTGGTGCTGGCCAACCTGGCGCTAGAAAGAAGAGCTACTGGGCAGCTTCGAGACAGAAAGACTTGCGTAGGAAGCTGTTGCGCAGGCCTTGTTCACGCCCAACTCCAGGATTAATGATCCGACACCATCGCTGCGCCCGAAGCCGTTGGCAGTTTCGTCGAAGGTTTTGCAGCGGCCATCAGGTGACAGAGCCATAGCCATTTTGCAAAAACCTACCTAGCCATGCCGAATAGGTTCGAGGTGCAGGAAAACCACGAATCACACTTGCGCAAGAACTGCTTGCATGTCCCAGACACCCACGTATTCGGACACAGCTGCCTGGACAGACCAAGACATTCAGAGATTCTTCAGGCTCAAGGGACACGAATATCAGCCATCATCAGTCTAGTTGCAGGTTGCTGCCAGCCACGGCACTCTTGTCACACTTGCCCAGTCGCTCGGCTTGCACAGCGCAATCAAACGCGACCAGAGTTGACCTGCAAAAAGCACTTGAATAGCTGGACACTGGCCTGCGCCGTGCAGGTGTAATTGTATACCGTCATGGGTAGGCAAATGTAGGCAAGCAAGTTGCGAGCATGCCGTGTCAATTGTGAGGCAAGGTCCACGAAGGCCCAGGGCATGCGAAACGCGCCCAGAGTTCCTTCGATGACGGAAACCAAAATACACGCAGCTCGGCATTGACGGCAGCCTCCTGTGAACCTCTGTCCCTATTTCCCTCAATCACACCGATCTCCCATCTTGACGATCCTTCTTATGAAGTGCTGGGATCGAATGCCATGTTGGCTGGCCCAGAGAACACAGAAACTCCACACCGCCTGATGACATGTCGAGCATTGCGGAGCCAAGACACCCGGATGTTGAAGAGCCAATCATCGTAAAGGGACCAATGTCATCATCCTCGCAGAAACCGCGAAAATGTCGGAGCAGGTGACTACAGAATGGTAGTCGCAGGATTGCAGCAACAGCAAGCTGGAGGAGCAGACCACACTTACTACACCCTGTTTTCATCAACATGCCAACAGTCTGAGGAATTCCTGCACCCCAACACCCAGCATCGTAGCGCAGCCGATATAGCACCCGGTGCTGGAATTCAACAAGCTCTCCTGTGCATGACAGCGCAGTGGGGTCATTCGGCTACTGTAACTGCAGGGCATGCGAATTCTGCTCCACAATGTCCTTGTTCTGCCTGCCATTCCAGAAGGACTCATAGACAACTTCAAGCCTGAGCGACTTCTTTGCAAGTTGTAACAACTTATAGCTGGAGAATGGAATTGGCCAACTGCACGTGGAGCCTGGCTGCAGCACCAATTCTGGCAAGGTGCAAGATTCGCTGGTGCGGATCCATAGCTTGAGCTTCGGGTTCCGCGATGCCAAACATGACGTTGTCAAAGCCCTGCAGTGCATTGCACTTATTTCGACAAGCACAAGAAGTCTGTAAACTGTTCCAGCTTGGCACTGATTTGCTTCCACCCCAAGGACTCTTGAACTACTTGGCCCCCGCCCCCGCCCCTCCAGCCAAGATCCTGCTGGGACTTCAATCAACTCCCTGGTTCAAGCTTTCACTTTCGGCTTCGAAACGCTAGGCCGGGAGAATTTATTATCTCAACTCGCCTCTTCATTCAGTAGTCTTTGGTGCGACCGTGGGCGACGTCGCTGCAAAAACTGCTCAGCTGTTACGGAGATGTTTTAATGCTCATATGTTGCTAGGACAAACAGACCAACCAGCGCGAAAGAAATGTGACGCACAATCAATGGTTCCATGCATGGCCTCTGGCATTGCATTTGTGCTTATTTTCCTACCTCTTTCCATCTTGCCTAGAATATGTTCCATTGCTGCATTACAGGCAAGTGCGTTTCTGCAGGAAACGGTCGCGCCTCCAAGCCGCAAATGAAACCGCCAAAACGCGTGTACCTTGACTTGAAGCCCATCACTGCAAGCGACTGCGCCACACTAAAACGCGTCCCAACCGTTTGGTCTCCAAGCCGCATCTTGCCAGGCTCGCTGGGATCCGGATCATAGTAAAGGTCAATGTCCCATCGCTCACTGGGCACCACGGTTATCATATCCAGACCCGCCCTCAACATGCTCCAGTACCTGAGGATATTTGGGCGTAAAGTCTTGTTTGGCAACTTGTGGCTCAAGCTTGCAGGGTCACGAGCTTAGGGCGGTCCCGACAGGACTGAGACGCTCACTCATCGGGGCTGTTTCCGTTGCAGCCAGCGAATCTAGCGGCACAGCCAGCAATCGCCACCGGCTCTGACACGTTGAAATCTCGCACATCTGCCAAACGGATGCGCAAAGCTGTAAACAAGGGTGGCGTGGCAGCAATGAAATATGCATGAACATGCTCACGAGCCACTGTTTCCTGTTGCAGAGCAACGTCAACTACGCATTCTGCGAATTATCATACACACAAGCAGTAAAACTGTCAAGTAAAAGTAGTCTGATGGCAGCAGTATGAGCAAAACACTGCAACAAGCAGACCGAGGAATGGTCAAAAAAGAGTATTATCAGGACTCTAGCGTTCGGGTGGCGTATGAAAGCATTTGACAGAGGCTTTGCAGCTCCGTTGAATCGAAATTTAAGCGCTTGCTGCATGTGGCTTGCACGGCCTGGAATGGACTCTTCATACTTGCTGTTATCTCCAGATACCCTGGCAGAGATGAAGCCAGTCAACTCCGTCACAGTGGGAAAGTCAAAGATGACCTTGGAGCGTCTTTGACGACCCTAAAGCCGCAAGGGGGTCCCCCGACGTCCTCTGTAGCATCGTCTGATGTAAATTCAAGGCAAAGTGCTGTGGAAGCCAGATGGACGCCCTCGAACGACGCCTGAACTAAGTTTCTGAACTCCACGACAGACAGGGAGTCCAGTCCCATGTCCATGAATGGAACAGAGAAGTCTGTCCAATCAGGATCTCCAATAACACTGCGCAGTGCGTCGATGATGGTGGAACTGATGAATTCCTGCGCACACGACCATCTTGTGGGTGGGGATGAGACTTTGCGACCCAGTAAGAACGTGCCTCTGACACGCCTTCACCACGGATGCTCGCACCTGACACGAAGCGTGGCCAGTGCACACTACTACCTGTCGACACCGATCATGCTAGTGCCGTGCTTGCTTTCATGGCGACATCGCCCTCCCTACATCGCTTGCCTGCGGCTTTCTTCAGGTGCTTGAAGTTTGTCAGGAAGCACGGCACTTTCCGCTGCACGGCGAGGAAAGAAGACCAATCGATGCGCGAAATCCCCAGAACACCACTAGGTGAGGGTGTGGCAGCCAAAGCTGCGCCCAGTGCCTGGCCGGCCGTATCATTGCAATTGAGCTTCTTAAGAAGCCTTCCGACAATAATGTCTTAGAGTCTCCGTCAACTTCCAAGCCTGCAAACTTGCGCTCGGATCCAGCCGCAAGTAGCCGCCACTCTCCCTCGTCCCTGCCCGAGCAGCCATGCCCACTTCTGCCCACGGTCCCCATTGAATGGACAAAGCTGGAAGACCTGCAGCAGAATTTCACATGTGAACCTGGACTGCTGCTATCTGGCCGTGCAGTTCCCTGATGATGCATGAAAGGATACCTTGGCCACATCGGTGCAGCGCAAAGGCATCAAGGAAGGTGTTGGCAGCGCAGTAGTTGGCTTGACCACGAGATCCCAACATGGCCGCCACGGAAGAGAAAAGCACAAAGAAGTCCACCTTTGGCAGAAACTCGTGTGGGGCAACAGCTGGATTCATTGCCCACAGCAGGCGAACCCGCCGACAGCTTCTCAGCAGACTTAGTGCGGCTCTAAGGCTTTGGGACAAACGGATTCGAGAGACGAAAGAACTTGCTCAACCTGCGACATTTCTAAATTGCAGCTGCCATGGAAAATCGGCTGTAAGCCACTGTCGTTCTGCTAGTTATGACAAGCGAAGTGAACTCTATCGCTGCTTCTCTCACAGAATACAGCGTTATCCTGGAACCGTTAACAGTAATACTACTCTTGGCTATTAACATATTCTATCTTGGTCACCACTGTTCTTACTCTTCATGCTACTGTTGCTAGTATCGTTGCCGACCGGGTTGTCATCACTAACTGTTTTGTACATAACTCAATCTTTGACAGTTTTCGACTTTGGCCTTGTTGCATGCATGACCGTTGTGGGCTAAGGCCATGTTTCCTGCCGAGGTCACAGGTTTCAGACCAGCCATACCGATGAATTCCTCAACAGCCCTTGCAAGCTTTGCTGGGACAAATACCCCAATGCCCTAGCATGCTGTTCTTAAATAGGATGAAATGGCCTTGCTGCCGTCCGTGCTCTCAAGCCCGAGATTGAAAAAGGATTTGTGAAGATTCCTTGGCAAATCGACATACGACACATGACGTCTACTCACTAACGAGCTCGGAAGAAGTGCCCGAATCGACGAAGCAATTGCTGAGGTCCTTTCACAGAGCCATCCACCTTCGGCTTGAAGACGTTGGCGAAATGATTCCGAGTAAGATCTGCAATAAGATGATCATCCAAAACCTGATGCTGCGGCTGGCTAGTCACTAGTGCATGTGTCTTCCGCGATGAGCAACACCCGATTCGCACGAGCATGGCCACACATCACAGACTCGCTGCTGCATCAACTTATCTTGCACTTCGATCTGCCCTGTCCAAGCGAAAGTTAAGCTTCAGACACCGGCTGCGTGAACCGCCCCGCAGAGAGGTTTCTCAGCATGAACTGACTTCAAGCCTGATGTCACAGCCTGGCCCACGGTGTGACCCCAAAGACTCATCAGGAAACATGGAACTTGCTCGCCTCCTCAACGGAAATGTCGCAACATTGCAGAGTCGTGGCAACACCCGTGCTTTGCAGCTTTGCGAACGAAGCTGCAGCGGTCGGCTCCTCGAGCAAACACGAATTGCTCCATAGTCAAGCAAGGATCACAGCATCTCTTACACAAGACTATGCGCAGCAGTTCATGCACCTGTCAGCCCGCAGGCATCTGGTACCTTTTCAAAACTCCAAGGCCTGTGAAATGTTGCCGGTGCGGGAGAGCAAAGCGACATGTCCGGCACCATTCTCCGCAAACCATGTAGCGACCAGAAGCCCTAGGCCACTGGTGCCACCGCTAATAGCAATGCTACCATCTCGCGGACCTGTCAGAACAAAAAGCTCAGGGCCGGGCTAGGAAATCAGGATAGCACCGGCGACAGGCTACGAGCAAAAAGACTAAGGCGAAACATGCCAAGAGTCGACAGCTACCCATGTCCACCTTTCGGAGCTTGCCTGTGGTGTCTTCCAAGCGATGGACCAGCAAGGAGAGGTTTGGACTCTGCAGGAGGAGCAACTCCGGCTCCATCAACTCCACGTCACTCGCGCGATGCAGCTTCAGCTTTCGCAGCCTGATCAGGCCGTGGGAGCTTTTCTATTCCAACCGCAGCACCTGATTACGGCCCCAGGCCCCGTAGTATTCTATTAAGCCTTTTCTGGCCATCTGGGGCACCACTGGCCGGGCCTGGCGATGATATCACCAGCACCATTGCAGTTGACACCGAGGTCCACGCAGCCAGCAAACGAGCCGGGCGACTCGAGCCGGAAGCAGCGGGCCAAACCCCAAAGACCAGCGTGCCATGGGATGGCCTCGCCCTTCAGTGATCTGGCGTCCATGGCCTGGCTTCGCACATCATGCTGACAGTCTGCTATTCGTGCCCTACTACCTGGCTTTTTCTTAGCAGAACCTTCGGAGGAGGGACGTCACAGAAAATAATGGCTCATGATGCAGTATATGATGCTCATAATACAGTATAAGACGTGGTTGCTAGACGTACTGGTGCAGCCCGAGTGAACGCTTTTGCTGGGTCTTGCCAACCATCAGCTACGATTTAAGGGCTTTCGCTGGGTCTTGCTACGATCTGAGTGTTTGCCTTGTTTTCAAGGTGACCAATGCATCGCGAAAACTGAAACAACTGGCTTTCACGCATCTTTCCTTCTTTCAATCGTGCTTTGGCAGCAAGCACGAGATGGAAATTCATGTGCCATAGATTATTGTCAATTGTTCATTGAATGTTTTTGGTGAAGTTTTAATTATAAATCCTTTGCATTGAGTATTGAAGATTGTGTTGCAAAGTTTGGTCAATATTGTAAAGTTTCGGCTTTTGCCCTAAACCCCTGCCTGAGTGGCGTGCAACACGAACCACACCACTGGGCTGGCTTTCATGCGCAATGCCATCTGAATCAGACCAATGCCATTCTCCACAACATCAAGTGGGGAATCATCCGGCGATGGGATGTACACCATCTGTGGAACTTGTAAGTCTTCGGGGACACATGGCAAAGAAGTGCAGTAGACATGCTTCTCGCCAACTTCCGCTTTAAGCAAATCAAGCAGGCCAGCATCCGCCAGGAAAAGCCATTGCTCATCAGAGATGCCGGATGGCAAGAAGCCGTGGGTACTTGCCTCATCACCTATGTAGCTGCCAACCCACTTCGACTCAAAGAAGCTGATCTGGCCCGGTGCTGTCTTTCTGGCACCAGCCTTTTGCACTTGGTCAGGTAGCACCTTCCGAAAAACTACGTCCTCCAGCAGCCACAACAGGGATCCCGACTGGCTGAAAACACCGCAGGTAAAGATCTGCTCCTTGTCTGTGTTTTCAGTGACATGCAAGTGCAGCACCAACGGGTGGTCCATCGGCACATCACTGGCATGTATGGAAACTTTTCCGACTCCTGCAAATATCTTGAGCATTGGAGTCGTGTCACCAGCCACCATCGCGCATGCTGCATGAATCGAGCCATCGAGGAGGCATGGATGAATGATGTAACCTTCGCTGGAGACATCAGGACTGAGCCGCAGCTGGCAGGAGACTCCATCTGCATTTCGCCGGATGTCATAGCACACTTGGAACATGGGTCCGAAATGCAGCCCAGATCTATCGACCAGCGAGTAAAGACTTGCCGAGTTGACTCCTTCATCTCTTCCTGTGCTAGCATTTTCCGGTTTCGTGTCCAAGTCCACGGCTTGTGCTGTCGTCTCCACAGCTGTAGCATCGACACGCCCCTCGCAGTGAACTGTCCAGGCATCATCATCAGGGCCCTGACTTCGCAATTCAAAGCGTTTGTTGCCTATGATCGCAAGGCGAAGGATCACCTGCTTGCCATCTGTGTCACTGTCCTTTGGCACCACACAGGGCCACAGCATGTGGACGTTTCGCAGCTGAGCCTGCGGACCCAAATGCGCCCTGGCGGCCTCCAGTGCCATTTCCACAAATACCATGCCAGGAACGACAACCTCACCATAGACCACGTGCTGCGAAACCATGCGGAACACATCGGAGTGCACGGGGCAGTCGAAGTGAACCTCGTTGGGTGCCGTAGCTCGATGGCAGAGGAGCCGTGGCAATACCTCACGCCAAGGGAATGCCTGCCGCCGCAATTCCAGCTGCGAGGCCTCTGGAAACCGTGAGAGTCTGAAGAGAGGACAGAGACATCACTCACACGGAAATGCTGTCCAGCCGTTGTCTTGAAGGTTCGGTTTAGGAGCCGATTTGGGGATGCCTCACGTGAGCCCAGACCACATGTCCTTGTGCACCCACCTCAGACCTACCGTCTCTCCATTGTTTCTTGTCAGTAGATGCACAGTTCAAAGTTCGTACTTCCGAAGTTCCATCCAGTGCTTTTCCGGATTTGTCTAGAAGTCTTCCCAGTTCCCAAGTCCTGCGCAAAGTGGAAGCCACCGTCTGGCTTCCGACTCTTGTCGATGTCGGCTTCCTTTTAGCTTGGTAACACGATCCTGAGACTGAGGCCCAAATGACCCACGTTTGTAGGGGCCGCAAATGTGGACCGTGACACCCCCCCCATGCGGTCGATGCGTAGCATTGACAGGTACATGCCGGTTTAAGTCAGTCGAGATATGCTTCAATGAGGGTAGCACTGCAATCTAATGTTCGATGCCGAACAGCTCGGACATCCCATGAGGTGCCTTAGAGCTCTGACGTATCATGCGACAATTTCAAAAGCAGTTTGATCCGAAGTAAGGCCTTCCAGCAATCATCTGGCTGAACGGCGTGCTTGCAGATTGCGTGTGCATTCGTGCCGCCAAAACCAAACGACTGCAAGCCTGACCAGGAAACACACATGAAGATGCACAGGGAATGCTGGCTGCACGGCAACTTCATCGGCAGTTACTCTGCTGATCTCCATGGGCCTGAGAAGAGCATGCCTCCCGAAAGCTGCTGCGAAATGGCCGGGATCATCGCTGGAAAGTCATCGAAGTCAATCTTTGGATTCAATTTTGCCAAGTGCAGGTTCGGGGGTGTGACACCTCGGCTGGACGGGAGCGGCAATTGGGGCAAATGTGGCAGTGGCTGCCCGGCAACTAAGCCCCGCACCATGCTTCAAGGCTAGAAGAGTCTTTGCCAATCCTGCTGCACCAGCGGCACCTTCCAAATGTCCTGAAGCTATGAACTTGTGCCGGCAGAGCGCGGTGCTTTCCAATACCCTGACGACTTTTGGTTGAAGGCTTGGATTCTCATCGGATGAGAATCCGGACTCGGTTTCTGACCTGCTTGCCGCAGGCACAGTGTGCTCGGGTGAAGCACAGTGCTCAGTGCATGTATTTTGGTCAACCAGATCGCTTTCCGCTTACAAGCATCAAATGCTGTGGTTTTTGCGTCTTGTTGTTTCTGAAAAAAACAAATGCATTCCAAGACCATTCTCAGCACAAGTGCTGACAGGTCATTTCTGATTTCTTGCAGCCAGCTTCTGG